CCTTTTCCAGTATTATTGACAGCCCATTCTCGGCTAGTAATCTTAGACGTTTTACATGAGAAGCATAATTGTATATGCTGTCTCGTCTAAACACCTTAAAGTCATTGCAATAAATTGGCTGTCACCTTCCCAGAGCGCTTTGGAGAACCTCGTGAGAACGGTAAAGAGGGAGAGAGGTGCGTCCCGGCCACCTTTAGACTGCTCTACTTTATCGCATGGAAGCCGGATCCGTCACAGGTTAGTTCAGTTTACCTACTATCGCTATAAACCAATTTACACGTAAGTCGTCCTCCCGGCAATGATGGACATCGTCGGAGACGGCGGTCAAACTGAATAGTTGTAGCAGTCCAGAATGTATTTGGTTGCAGGATACCATACTGACAGCATAGGTGCTAGCTAAAAGCCCAGACACGCGCGCTTCTCCGATATTCTGCTGCTGCATGACGCAACTGCGAGGGATTCGGCTCATCAGTGGATCCCCCAACATTCTCCAAGTGCTTTCTCGTAGATACTACAGTTTAGAAATCTTTACCCTTTAATTCTCTCAGAAATTAACTGCTACCTTAGGGTAGATCAGTTTGAACTAAGGTCTTTAGGCGTAGACCGAAATTTGATGTAGACCTTAGTTCAAACTAATCTACTCTAAGTTGGCAGTTCATTTCTGAGGAATTTAAAAAGCAACGGTTTCCAAACTGGAGTATCTACCGAAAAGCACACGGGAATGCTTAGGGACCCACTGTCAGTGAAATAGTGACATCTGATACAATGGCTGTATTCAAAAGGCAGCTGAATCGTTTGATGTTTGATAAACGACGACTCTCACTACAGGACTATCTGCGGCCAGCCATAAATCTCATTTCTTGATTTCATCCCTATGTAACATATCCCTGACGTTTAATGAAAATTTCCCTCTCAAAGTATGAAATGACTGCACTTTATACTGTATACAATTCCACTTACAATTTCATGTGTATATACATTGAACAGACCGCCTGCCGCACCCGCAGTTCCGCACTGTTAAAATATTTTCCGTAAACAAATATGTTACTGGCAAAAGTTTAGTAAGATGTGCATTTAACATTTATATTGCATGTACCGTTTTCAATAGGGTCATCAAGGGCATTGCCTATTACCCTAAAAATACACTATATACCGAAAGAGCCGAATCCCTCGCAGCTGTGCCATGCAGCGGCAGAATATCGGCGAAGCATACGTGTCTGGGCTTTTAGCTGGTACTTGTGCAGCTAGTATGGCATCTCGTAACCCTAAAACATACCACCAGTTGCCTGTCGGCAGTTAATGAATATTGCGCGGTTATCCCACTATGGCCGATGGACATCGGCTAAAGCATTCATACATTAACTTTCAGTCTACGCCTATAGACCTTAGTTCAAACTTATCTACTCCAAGTTATCAGTTAACCTCTGAGGAAATTAAAAAACGGCAAGTTCAGAATATGCCAGGGCCTGTTCTAACTAGGCAGACAGTAATGTGCTATCTCATGAAATTTTAGCCGAAATTCTAAAGTGCGTTTTTGGTTCGAAAAGATTATTTAAGTGGGGTTGTGATACTAATCTTCTTATCGCATAATACCAAAATATTCCGGTTATTTCAGAATGCCGGTTTCCGAATAAACTCTTTACCAATCGCCTGGGAAAACGACATTCCATATAAATGACTACTTAAGCACTGTGAACTTTTCCTGTGGATTTTCGATGCCCTTATTAATTCAAATATATTTTATAGAAAAGATATAGAAGAATATTCTTCATTTTACCCCATCGGTAGTAAATTACGTCTTTATCTGACTATACTTGGAGAAGGAGTATTTTTTTGGTTTTAAAATAGTTTCTGTTTATGAAATTTTTCCAAACCGTTAAATATCCAATCGTACAGCATCACGTCAGCACATTTGTTCATGCTACTTATAAAATGGGCACCGTGGCCCATATCAATTACAAAATTTAACGACTCCTATATGTCCCCTTCATAACTGCATATAGAAATATATAATTTTACTCGCGCGAAAAAGTATACGACTTTTAGTTAGGAAACCCTGGATGCAAATGTAACGATAGACTGGGTTGAACGTTATTCGGGAATCTGTACATTTTTTTAAAACTGAGAGATGGTCTTTTTCACGTATATAATTCGAAGAAAACGTAATTTGCTACCCAAGGAGTAGAATAAAGAATATTTTCGGGCGTGTTTTTTACAAAATATGCCTACTTAGGTAGTCATTTTTACGGAATATGGTTTACACAAGCAGTCGATAAGAAGCTCATTCGATAGCGACATCTCAACGTGACTGGAATTTCTTGACATCATGTGACATGCTCATGAATATTACAACTCTACTAGAGTAAGCCTTCGAAATTGAAAATGCATTTCAGAATTTCAGTCAACATTTCATGAGATAGCATATCTACCGGATATGACACTTTTATTAGGAGTTAACTACGACAATTCGCCTTTCAGATGAAGCCTCTGCCCCGAGGATCAGCCGAATACTCCTTCAAGGAACTCAGCCGTCTGGACGAGCTGGGCGCGTCTCACGTCGCGAAAACAAACAAAGGGTCTTCGGGAGACAATAAGAAATAACTGTTCCATTTCAAGCGCCAGTCTCCTCTCCACTGCTTTTCTACTGTACAGCCTAGGTTTTAAAACAAAATATAGCATTCTTCCCTTTACACACACGGCGAGGCTCCTGCTTGCCTACGACAGACAAAACTTTAATGTTCTGACAAATGACCATGTTTAGGCGCGGGGTGTACTGCAGTGGAGAAGTGCATCGACTAATCGAAATGAATCCTCCGCGTTTGTGGGGAAACTCGCGCAAACGGCATGAACTTGCCAAACTTGCTGGGCTGAACTGTCTCGTAATTCAACAACTGAAACTATGCCCTGTCATATCTACCTGGACACTAAGCTAGACGCATACTTGGCTATCGAACCGTACATGGCGACGGCACACAGGCAGTTGGGTAGATTTTACCGAGGTTCATGCTGGTCGACCATTTTTAATGACGACATGGTGAAAGGCTATTATGCCAGTGCTTGACTACGTTGTGCTTCAGAGTCCTCGGATCGGGCTCACGCATATGAGCCTCGAGAAAGTGGTCGACGCGCAAAAGCGGTAGCCTCCAGGACACGATACAATGATCGCCACGGTACCCGCATATTGGGGCCGTAATGTTAGTTCGGGCCAGGAACAGGCGGTTGGGGAAGCGGATATGGCGTCCAGTTTGAGTGATGCGGTGAGGGAGAAAAAGGTCAGGGACCAGAGAAACGGGCAGTAGGGAAGGCAACATATGGCTTTGGATGGCAGTCCTGAGGTGGTAAACTTCTGACTGCCGTTTCCCTGTCACGGTGGGAAGTATGGCAACCTTTGGTGCTCTAAATGCAACGTGAAGGGCCCATCTTGCTGCTGTTGAACTGGCCGGCGCGTGCAACTAAGTACTTTTGCAGATAAGCTATGGAAGTAGATGGGAGGCAACTAGCATTGGTTAAGTGGTAGTGCAATTGGAGTCCGGATTGAGGACTGGACGGATTACCTACGGTACTAGTGATAACAGATTCAATTATCTAGCTCCTCTATGATGCGTGCCCGGACCTCTAAGTGACGACGAAAAAGCTATACCACCAAGTTGGTGGCTGGTTGATAGGCGGTGGACTGAACCCTCGTTTGGCTTAGAGGGTTGTCGAAAAGCTCTAAGGGCAGTAACCAAATGCCACGAGCGGTTATGATGGGTGGGGTGCCGTAGATTGCGACCCCATGACAGGAATGCCTGGATCGTGGTTGAGGCCTCCATGTTTGAAAGGCATATGGTTTCCGGCCATTTAATGATCCACTGCGCGGATGAATAAGTGTGAGTAGCCGCCACACGGAGTGAGAGGTGTAATGCTCGGAGGAATATGATTAACCCTCACACCAAGAGAAAGTTCCTGGTTATGTTCCGTTATTGTGAGCGTTACGCCTTCTACTGCTTTGATGGGACCCCGACGGGTCTTTAATAAAAATTATCTATCTATCTATCTACGGTCCCGCCGGGTTCTAATCCATGTTTTTCGGGTCATTGTTCATACCGGCTGGACAAGCATGTTAGTGAATGGTCTATATGTTGCTCGATTTTCAGTTCAGTTCATTTGGTAAGGATAATAGGCAAAGCCTTTGGGACGAGACATGTTCAGCAAGACGAAGATTCGAAGGGAAGAGCCAGGCATCCTCATCAGTGATGAATGGGGAATCGCACCATCATACGGCTGATCCCACATTGTAGCCGCGATAGAACTGAAGCGAATCCTAGGAGCTGATAAAGCTGGAAAGTGGACTTTATTCAGTTTATTTCAGTTTATTTGGTAAGGATAATAGGCAAAGCATTTGAAAACCCTATTGATTACATGTCAGCTCGTTATAAATAACTGTACACGAACAAAAAATATTCACTATTAAAACAGTACTTGGTTCATTTGAGTAGCATTGTCTCAGAGAAAATATTTGTGGGGACCAGGGGTATTAGTTCGGATTCAAACTGTCGAGGGAAAACAGGGGACACAAATAATCATCCAAGCGTTTCTTGAAGAGTTGCAGGGATGTAGCCTCCACGACTGACTGAGGGATATCGTTCCATTTCTCCACTACCCTCTGCGTGAAAAATTCAGAACGAAGATTCAGCCTGGACATTGTTGTCCGTAACTTCATCGAGTGACCACGAAGATTGGGTGAAAGGTGCCACTGAAACATGTCCTCAAATTTAAGTCCATGCTCAAGGCCATGTATTATCTGGTAGACGAGGATAAGATCACCTCTTTGCTGCCTGTAACACAGAGGGAATAAATTAAGGCAATTCAGTCTGTCTGTGTAGGATTGGCTTTTTAGACCGTTTACCAGCTTTGTTGCACGCCGTTGTACTCGTTCGATGCATGCGTGGTCCTTTACTAGCCATGGCCGCCATGCTTGCATGCCATATTCTAAGTGGGGCCGAACAAATGTGCCGTAAGCTCTCCCAAAAAGGTCTTGGTCAAAGTTAACGAAAGCCCTTTTTATTGCATGCAGTACTCCCATGGCGTTTTTTGCAGCCTTGTGGCACTGCAGCGTTGGTTTCCGGTTGTTCTGTATCCAAACCCCGAGATCCTTCTGTGAAGAGTCTTCGGGGAGCTTTATATCTTTCAGGTGATAAGTCCTCGGACTCTCATTTGAATGAGAGTCGGTTGGACGCAGATGAAGGACGACACACTTCTCCACATTGAAATCTAGAAGCCATTTCTTCGACCACGCTTGCAGTCGGTGCAGATTATTTTGAAGGGATCTCTGATCATTCGGACCCTTAATGACTTGCCAGAGCTTAACGTCGTCTGCAAACATTATTTTGCCGCAGTCGAGTTCCTGAAGGTTGTCGTTAACATAAAGGATGAAGAGCAATGGTCCCACAACTGAGCCTTGCGGCACACCACTGGTCACATTCAGCCATTCTGACATATCATCCCCGATACAGACACGTTGTTTCCGACCAACCAGGAACGCCCTAATCCAGTTCAGAAGATCTCCCCGGACGCCGATGGTGCTCAATTTGGGAAGGAGACGTTGGTGTGGGACAGTGTCAAAAGCTTTGCGGAAATCGATGTACACGACATCGACCTCAAAACCCTCTTCTAGAGCCCTGGTCCAGATTTCCAGACAGGCTAGCAGATTTGAGAGGCAGGAACGTCCTCTCCGGAAGCCATGTTGAAAATCCTGCAAGATGTTATTTTCTTCACAAAAGTGCTGTATAGCGTTCTTTACTATAGCTTCCATCGTTTTGCAAGGGAGGCAAGTTAAGCTAATAGGCCTAAAGCTGCTTGCTGTCATCCTGCTACCTCCCTTATGCAATGGAACGAGGTTATCTGTCTTCCACTGTGAGGGCAGCCTTCCTGTTCTGATTAACAGCTCAAAGGCAGTCGAAAGAGGCTTTGACAGCTCCGTTGATAGCTCCTTAATTATCAGCCCGGGAATTCCGTCGGGTCCAGGAGACTTATCAGGTTTTATTTGACTGAGGACGCGTCTGACTTCTTCCACGGAAAAGGCGACGGTTTTAATGACGGCAATATCTTCGCGCATTTGAAGCTGCCCGGCTGTCTCGGTCCATTTCAAACTGCTGATTGTCTTCTAGGGAGTCCTCCGTAAAAACGGATTGAAAAAACTGAGACAGCAATCGCACTTTCTGTGGCACTTCAACTAATAAGTTTCCGAGGCTATCCTTAAGACCCGCAATTTCGTCCCTATGTTTCCTCCGACTGCGGATGTACCCGTAAAACTTCTTGGGACATGTAATGGATTCTGCTATCAGTCGACGCTCGAAAGAAGTTCTAGCAACCCGTATTTCTTTGCGGCATTTATTGCGCTGATCCTTATATTCGGCAAGTGACCTTGGATCTCGAAGTTGCAAATACTTGTTCCAGAGTCTCTGTTTCTTCTTCATGGTCTTTTTGTCGTCGGATTGACCCACGGCGGTCGCATACATGGTCTTGTCATTTTTATTGGACAATGGGAATCAATCAGACGCTCTATAATCCCGCGAAATTCCTGCCAAAATTCGTCTGAATCTTCTGTGTTGACCAACCAGGTTTCCTCCAAAAGAGTGCGTCTCATTGCGTTAAAGTCACCCTTCCAAATATTTCTGCGCGTCTTGATTTTTGGTTGTCGGTTGGATAGGAGAGAGCACACGCAGGTAAAAGCAATATGATCGCTTAAACTGAGTGGAGGTTGTGGATTGACTTCCTTTATGAGTCCTTTTCTTTACTGAAAACGAGATCTAAACAGTTAGATCGTTGTCCTTCTCTCATTCTTGTTCCGAATTCTATGTGCTGAATGAGGTATTCATTCAGGGAGAGTTGTAGTAGCTTTTGGTCAAATGACGTGGACGGGGCGTTTGTTAGGGTAATGTTCCAGTCTATTCCTGGAGCGTTGAAGTCACCCAGAAGTGGTAAGTTCTCCTGCTTACATAACAACTCCAGTACACTAAGTAATTCCATATCGGCGATTTCATTCGAGCTGGGAGGCCGATAGACAACATACAGGTTCAGTGTCGGTAATTGTTTGATGCATATCTTGCATGAAATTATTTCAAAATTTCGGGGCGCACCATCGGAGATTTCTCGCTGACAGCACGCAATTTCATTTGACACATATGAGCAGGGTGTTGACCACCTCTTCCCGTGTTCCGTCCAGGTGGCGTGTGTTCGAGGTAAACTGAGTGGTATGTTTCCACAGATTCGTCTCTGGGAGTCAATCTTTTTGAAGTTTGGCCATTAGGTTGGATAATATGGCTTGTGATCTCATCACATACAAACGTGTCTGTCCACTACAAAGCGCACGAAGCAATTCATAGTGAGGTGGTGACAGTGGGTTACGTCTGATTGTGCCAACTCGGGGAGAGCTGATGATATATGATGGTCAGGCGCAGAAGTTTCTGTGACTGGTGCTTGAAAGTGCAGTTGGAAGGTCCAAGATAACCTTCACCGTGGAAGGAGGCAGTGGAAACCAAATAAGTCGACCAGACTGCTTACGAACTCGATGTGGGCATCCGGAAGGTAGAAACTGTCAGGCCTAAAGTGACAACAGACCATTAAATATGGTAGGACATTGAGACAGAGCTTTACTCATCTACTTTAGTTTTCTGTGTCTCCATCAGGAAATTATAAGCATATTCGCTGACAGGGGGATTCCGTGATAGAGTCTGAGGACAACACATCCAAGCGTTTAGGAGGTACTTTTTGCTCTAGAAGTCATATGTGGGAACTTAAACCGCTCAAAAGTGATGCAAACGGAACGGACTCCAAAGTCAGGACAATGGAAGCTTTAGCGGTCATCTTTATCGAGCACGACATCGCCAGGCACATTTGTTGCATATCCTCGAACAGAAACGGCTGCCTTATGATCAGAAAAAGAAGGTGGGTAGAGTGATTGTCTCCCATACCTTCGATTTCTGCGCAGGAATAAATATCACCAAACCGGTTGGGGCATGGTTTCAAATTCGATAATAAACTACAGATATAACAAGAGACTTTTATTAGACATTAGAACATTTCTTAGCGTTAAATTTCTACGTTATCTTTTTGTTGGCATGCATTTGTTTCTTTTAAAGCCATTAGTTCTAATTCCCTTTTAGGTTTTTGCTAAATTATGCCTGTTTGGTAGTTCTTTGCATACTGCAAATTGCATTTAATGCATCGTAACTGTTTTCAACGGTTTTCTGCCAGCTTCTGCTGAAACTTGATCGGGACGTTTGTCCGACGTCTTATTAAGCTACAGCGTAGTCGGAGTTAAGATGGAAACCTGGAAACTCTCGACATTTTTCACCCCAAGGTCGCCCACCATGCATTTCATTTCCATCTATCTGAGATATTCTAGAAAAGCCTCCGAAGACAGCATGACAATATTTTCGTCTAGGAAAGAGGTATATTCCCTAATTATTGATAAACACATGAATTACCAACTTTCATGTAATGTAAAAACAAATAACCTCCAGAAGAAAGGGAAAAGCGCCGTGTCCAACATCTGTGGGCAAAAGTCTGATTGTCATTTTTTCAAGGTTCGTGCATGATGTCGCGATCTGTTAGTTTGTATAAATAAGTAGATTTCCATTAATTGGCATACATAAAGGTCTACCATCCTGAAATACCCCTAATAGCATGCCGATATCAATGTGATTTACTCATATCGCCACTTCTTGAGATATGTGCTCACCTCATTTTCACCAGCCAGACGGTGTTTTGTACATTCGCTCTGTTTAACTGACGAATTTTTCGTGCTGTGTGTGCGTCTCACAAAGGGCGCTATTATACTTTTTATGCCGTGGCGTTGGTGCGCGTCACTCTGCTGATGTGACTTTATTGCTGCCCGTTTTACTTCTTCTGTTGTTTACATATTTGCTTAACTTTCATCGTTTAAACTAACGTTACGTTCAGGCAGACATCCCGACGGACGACAGTAAATCATATTGCGCAGATGCCATACTTGCCGTGTCCGAACGTTATGGTAAGACAATGTCAGTATCGATGACGCTCCTTAGTTTCCGAAGAAACAAACGCTCAGGGGAACGAGAATGTCAAACATGTTCCCTCAAAGATAGTTTTACCAGTAGAATCCTCATATAAATGTTCATACTGGGTCAGTTAACCCACCCTGTTCTCAGTTCTACCTAGGCGAGAATACATTACGGTATCCTGCCTGTTGATTTCCAGCTAAACATAAATCAACCGACGATAGTAACCGGCCTCCCTGCCCGTCATTTAGTCCTCCAAACCCTACTTTTCTTTATTCATATCGGACACTTTTAATGGACAATGTAGCTCACCTCCCTCAGGAATAAATAATCTTTCCCTTAAACTTTCCGTTCAAAATGCAGACCCTTTTGCTGAATAAGATGCCCTTGCTTCAGACGCTGTTGTGCATCCACTGACCGGGTATTGTTTTAGTAACTCAGACACGAGAAATTGCCTCTGTAGCTGACTTTGAGCTCTCTCTCTTCAAGGCTATACGTATATTCTTAATGAACGTCAAGACAGGCCTAATGGGGGAGGCCGCATCTACGTTAAGAAAACGCTTACATTTCTGCCACAGAACACTGCCCATTTTTTGCGGTGGGAGATAGCTGGTAGCTTCAGGTTGATCTAAATATAAGTACGCTTTACTCGTCGACTGTGTGTATCGTCCACCCAAAGCCAATGAAGGCTTTGATCGGTGTCGCCCACTGGCATCTCATACCGCGGCAGTATTAAACTCTAAGTATCAGTTGGTTGCAAATGACTTGAATCTTAAAGAAGTACGCTGGTCTGCGCATTGCGGTCCCAAAAGTTCGAAGATTCACTCGAGACGGTGGATGCTGGCGTGTGGAATCAGGCTGCCGATTTCCTCACTCGAGGATAAAATAGATTTGACCTCATTTTCTGTAGAGATTGCGTGCCTTTGTCACTGTCATCCCTATGCCCACTCCGGGCTCAGTCCACGACATAGTTTTCCTTACGCTAGAACTCCCGGTTGATAAAATTTTGTCCCCAAAGAAAAGATTTCCTCGACTTCCGATTTGCTCATTCAGCCGAAATATTAACACGCCTTAATTCCTACGACTGTAAGGATTTCTTCCTAAGTTCTTGTGTGAATGTTAACACCGCTAAAATGTAAAAAGTTTTAGATCCGCATATTTCTCGTTTCGTTCCACTAAAGAAAAAAGTGCGGGGACGACAAAATACTGAATACTGAAACATGAATTATACTGACTCCCCAAGCACGGCCAATCTACGTCGTTTGACGATTTTCAGTCAATAAACAACCTCCCAGCAGTTTCTAAAATCTTCGAGACATTAACTAAAGATCAGATGATGTGTCGCTTAACTGCGAAAAGCCTACTAAGTGTTACTGAGCACGGATCCTCCAAAGCTCGGTCTTGTGACACCTATCAGCTCTCGTTATTTGATCACGTTCTCGAATCTAGGGACAATGATTTTCTACTTTGTACAGTCTATTTCGACTTCATCAAGATTTTGATCTTGTTGGCAATACCCTCCTCCTCTCGAAAGTTCCTTTTTTGGGATAAGTGGCTAACTTTGGAATTTGATATCCCCTTACCTGGGCTCTGGCACACAACGTGTTTAGATTACCAATGCTAACTCCAGCCCCTCATACGTGAGGAGTGGAGTCATTCAAATAATGTACCTGGCCTGCTCTTAGGCTAGTAAAGGTCAATATATTTTAAGGGGAAATAGGCAATGCCTTTGAAAACCCTATAGTAAACGGTACATGCAATATCCAGCTTT